ATACTATTACCGAACTGAAAAACCATTTACCATTTAAACAACAAAAATGATTGTTTTAAAATTAGGTGGGTAAAACTACAGTCCCTTTTTGAAGACTAAATTTTCTCTTTTGCGTTACTTCTTAGAGGCTCCATGAAGACTTACATAAATTTTATTATTTTGAACATGTAACTTATAATCTGTAAGTATGAATGTATGAAAGAATGTATTGTGAGAATGTTATATTATTGTAAGGCAATTAGCCAGGGCACCCATCTCTGGTATTGCCATAATGCCAACAATTTGCTTCAGAAGAATTCAAATCTTTTACTCTGTCAAATGGTGTTAAGCACATATTTTCAGCACCGGTTAGCTAAATGATTCGTGCAAACGTTGAAACATACTTTGAAATCCGGTAAGCCAAATACTTTATTAGAGCAGAGGTTATGGAATTTCCTACTTGCTTACCGCAATACACCACAATCAACTAAAAACACTGCTCCATCAATTCTACTGAAAGGACATATACTCACGTTTAGGTTTACTGAAACCAAACACACAAAATCATCACAAAATAACCAAATTTCATTAAGAAATTCAACACAAAATAGAATGTTTGATGATGGACATCCTGTATTAGCACGTTCTTATGGAAAGGGAGGATTGCAGGCACAGTTGTAGAATCAACAGGACCAGTTTCATGTGAATCTAAAGGTGCTATTTTTGATGATAGTGTTCCTAATGATGAAAATCCGTATTTTTCTAGAGCTGTAGTGCCTAATGCAGCAATTATCGATGAATTTAATATTCCAAATGCAAATTATCGTTATACAAATTCAGATAATAGTATTGTGAAAAATGTGCCAAATTATAATCAAAGTAACAATTCATCTAGTGCCAAACGTCAAATAAATCAAAATCAGATGAATCACAAAACAATTATGTGCCAAAAAGTAAGTTTGGATCAAAATGATTCACCTCGAAGGCCGAAGTGGAGAAGGGTTCCGCGTTGCTCCTTCGATCGGCCGCGGGTTAGTCGGTCCTAAGGCCTGGGAGAAATCCTACGGGAAGCGGGACGTTTTTGAAAATCATTAAAAATCAGTCTCACCCAATGCACGGGCCGAAAGGGAAACGGGTTAGGATTCCCGTACCCGAAGGCGGAGCACAAGCGGCGACGCAAAGAAGGTCGGATACACCGTCGGGAGAGTCGAGAAGAGTTAACTTTTCTTTTTGAGGTGCGCTCGCTGACCCTGGAAGCGGTTCTGCCGGAGATAGGGAGCGAGAGCAATCAACTTTATCCGCAAAGCCGGCTCCAGCGGGGGCCTGTTCGGCTACGACTCGACGGTCCTTGAAACTCCGACGGCTAAACTCTTTCTTTTTTTATTTTGAAATAATGTGTTCGCTCTCGCCTCGGGCCGTACCTCAATCCGCCGCAGTCTCCAAGTTCGCAGCC